GAGAAGGGGGTGGGGACTGTGAGAGTGAAGTGTCTAACCCAAGTTCACTTCACAGTTTCTTTGACCTCATCTCGAACCTAGACCTCTCCACCCAGAGTCCAGTATGTTAGCTGCGAAGCCACCGCGCCTCCCGCAAAACAAAAACAACAAACGGACTAAATACTTGGATATAAACAAGTCATAAATTTTCAAAACAAACTTGCCCCTTGCCGTTTGGTCTTCTTTATTGAAAAATATGATTTCTGAGTTCAAGTGGTAAACAGCTATTTCTAATTTCCATGACAAAGCCATATGGCATCTCTTTATTGTAGAGGATGACAAGTCTGAATCCAACAACAAACATTCGAACAAAAGTGATCATTGACTGCCCTTAGATCGCCTGCTTACCTTGATTATAAAGTAAATCGATTCCGAAGTTGTCGACTCCTCGTCGATCAGCTTCCCGTAAGAAAACTGCAACGGACAAACGAAGATTAGAAAACGAATGGCACCTTTTCGATCTTTGATATTTGCGCATCCTACAGGCGAAAGCGGAAGGAAGATACACCAAATCCTTTTGGCCTGATCTCGAACGCAGACCTCTCAACACAGTTTCTTTGACCTCATCTCGAACCCAGACCTCTCCACCCAGAGTCTAGTATGTTAGCTACTACGCCACCGCACCTTCCGCAAAACGAAAACAAACAAACAAACAAAAAAACAAACAAACCAATTACTAGGGTATAAACAAGTCATTTATCTTAAAAACAAACTTGTCCCTCGCCGTTTGACCAAAAGTGATTGGTCTTTTCCTTTACCTCTCTGATATGTGATCGAAAACTCAATGGTCGCAAAAGATCATCTCCCCAGCCGTCAAACAAAGAATGACTCCTGAAAATAAAATGCGTATGAAATGCTTATTAGAGAAGAAAAAGAAAGACTGAGTTCTAGCCTTCTTGGAAATATATTTCGATCAACTTCGTTCCGAGGATCTCTGTTCTTCCCCTACTTCCTGGAGCAGGAGAGATAGGAAGAAGAAGAGGTACCCTGGGAATGAGTTTGTACTTGACTTTGGTGCGGTGCCTTATATAATTGGTTGTGCCTCGCATTTTGGATATGTGCTGGACCTAGCTAAGGCTGGTGTCGAGAGAGCATTGAATTGTCTCCGCGTATTAGGCAACATACTTTCACAAGAGAGTATCAGACTAAGACCGAAATCCTTTCTCATTTTAGTTCTGTAACTTTAGGTCTGGTAAACTAGTATTGATGTTGCATCTAACCGCTGAAAGGGGGTCTCAGTTGAGCACACGCAGACATAGCATGTTTCGGCTACGTATACAATATTCGCGAGGCTAATTATCCCAGATTCATCTGTCAGATGAAAATATCCCGGCTTTAGGGATAGGGTCTATATGGAGGAAGCAGTCTTATTTAATCTTACGGTGTTTTTAGGCTTATCTTATGTAAGTTGGGTTTCCTCCCAAAAGAACAAAAAGTTTGTACTGATATATAGCATCGAACTAGACGCATAGGTGTGAAGCCAGATTCAGATAATGGAGAAAAGAAGAAAACAAAAGGACAGAAGAAGTTAATTATTGTTTATTAAGAATTTTTTTAGTTTATTTATAAAGGACGCTAGAATTGGAGAGTTAATATCGCAACTAAGAATATTGAAAAACTAAGGACCTTAAAAGGTGAATAGTGTTAGATAAGGTTACCTCATAACTTGCAATTTTTCTTCGTATTCTCTTTGAAACACGTCTGGACAGTATTCCAACATGGTCTCCCTGTTCACCACAAGTACCTCGACTCTTTCCCGACATATAATTGTTGCTGTTCGTTTTGCTTCCTCTGATATGAGCGCTATCTCCTGAAGAAAGAAAATAAAAAGATTTCATTTGCCGTCTAAATCGTGAATGGGATACATCGTATTCAAATACTCGTCACCCCTTTGTGCTGAAAATATGATGGGTGATAAAAACTATGCCCATGTCTTCAACGATAGGATCTGTTGTATAGGGTTCATCTTTTAATTTTTCTGGCCTCAGACGGAGGCCTCGTTCCTAAGGAGACCCATCTCGGGTTACATCTTAATCAATTACGTTTTGGAGATTGCATGGCATCTTGAAATAAGAAGTCTTTGAATGACTTCGTTTTGGTATACAAACTGTTCGAATAAGGCCTTAAACTGTTGTAAAAAGTAAAATTATTTAAAAATCCAAGCTTTCGCCGATCAAGGGCATCATCAGGAATAAGAAAGAAAATATTCCGGGCGTGCTATATATACGCAAGAGAGTGTGTGGCGAAATGTGTAAAAGATGTGACTATGTGTGAAAGCTATAGAAATATACTGTGAATGGAACATAAGAAAAAATCCAAGTCCCAGATGGAACATAAGGCTCTAATGGTGGACCGTTTCTAAACAAAGGACCTCTAAGAACGTTAAATAATGGTCTAAAAAAATGAGATACAGTACTAAGACAGAAGGTCTGCGAATTCACCACATTCTTCCGGGAATTGAGTGTAGGCTTGTACTTTCTACTGTAAAATGCTTCATAGAGGCGTAGATTAGCGGAGTCGTTTTCGCTCGTAATTATCTTGACATCAATGCATCCCTCTATACAAAGGCATTGTTTTTCATTCACAGTTTATTTCTATAGCTTTCATACATAGTCGCATCTTTTACACATTTCGCCACACATGCACTCTCTTTGCGTATATATAGCATGCCCGGATTATGTTCTTTCTTATCCCTGATGATGCCGTTGATCGGGGAAAGCTTGGATTTTTTAATAATTTTACTTTTTACAGCAGTTTAAGGCCTCATTCGAACAGTTTGTATACTAAAACGAAGATGCTGAATCGAAGGACAACAGGAACACATTATACTCTTCGTTTTGTTGCGAGCGAAGGACAAAAAGAAAAACTGAGTAAAGCACAAGAGTAACTGAAATGTTGGGTCATAGGCTTTCAACCGCTTGGCCGTGAAAGGCCTGTGTAAGAATCAAACGCCAGATCTTTGGTTTTCGCGCTTCAGTGGTTTAATTCTAATCTACACTGAGAGATGTCGATGATGGGCTAGCTGGGCCATTTCTATATTGTGAATGAGACAAGTACCCTCCCTACCGTTAGGACAAAAAGTGTCGAAAGTGTCGCGTGAGTGATTGGAACTTTCAAGTTCTACGACAAAACATTTAAGCAACACTCGCGGTACACGTAACGTTTTTTCGCAGAAAACCAGACTATCTGAGTCTGATATAAATCAGTTGCCTTTCTCTTAGATTGAATTTCTCTTAATTGTGATTTATAAAAATGATTTCGTGGTATTGATAAAACTGTACCTTTCTTAGACATCAATAAACCTAAAAAAAATTCAGAGCAGTCTGAGATTCAGGAAGACCGTTACATTTTATTTCAGCTACATAAGATACTTTACCCCAAATGCTTCGTTCTTCTCCAGAACATCCACGGTGTTTGTTACGTAGATTCCTGTCTTGTAGTCCAACCGAGTTATGGTGACGGAGACAGAACCTGAGACTATGAAGTAGAAACAATATCCCGGATGTCCTTGTCTAACGATAAGCCTTCTGCGATCATAACTATGAACAGATACATACCAGATAAGTTGGGTTTGTCAAAATAGTCATCATTGAAAAGAATTGTGTTCTTAAACCATGCTATAAAGTCACGTCTCTAACCAGGTGCAAAATGATGAGTCGAAATGAGTTTTAAGGCAACTATTTCAGGTGAAAGAGCCTAAGCCAGAGAATACATATTTTAAGCTCAGCGTTAGAATCAACTTGTGATGCTCCGTATAGTGCGACGAAATCTAGCACTACCCTCCCGATCCATCAGATATACAACTTAACCAAACGCGGTTTGGATACTTGCGTTTTCGTACGCTTAAAACCGTGTACGTGCAAATTCTCAAATTGATTAAAATCATAGACACCCAGAGATATTTTGCTTTGTTCTGAAAGGCCGTCATGCGTTATTACACCATTTTTGTTTCACAAGAATAGCGAAATGCGCTCCAACGCACTAAAAATAAAAATCTTACCAGGCATAGGTCATTGTCTGACACAAGTTTCGCTGTGATTCACGGGAGAACTTTCCAAAGCTCTTCATCCCACGCAAAAGTGTAACAAGCTTGTTCATTTCAGCCTCGGTTCTATGATCTGGCTTCTTCGCACAAATCAAACGAGCCCATAATGGAAAATGAAGCTGTAGAAAAAAAAAATCAAGACGATAAATGTCTGTCTGGTCAAAATCCGAGCGAAAAACTGATATCGCACGAATAACGAACTGTCAATTGTATGCCCCACCAACTCGAACTGCAGAGACCTCGAAAGTAAATCAGTCCATTTACCGGGTTCAAACATGTATTCATATTCTGAACAGCGAGAAGATCAACCAACAATAATGAAGGTGACATTAAGGCAGAAAATGTAGGAAAGAAGATACATTTTAACCCTTTAACCCCCAGAAGTGATTGACATGTAACTTCTCCTTACTCCATCCATACATTATCCAGCAAACAGGTAATGAGAATACTCGAACGTATCAGGTAGAAGTAATCTTGATCTAACACCAAATTATCGTAACTAATTTACAAGGAAATGTATAGCAGTTAAAGGGGAAATTAATAATTAGATCTCGGGAGTTAAGAGTTATGCTTGGTCGAGAAAGATTTCAAGATGACCAACGTGGTTAAATATATTGTAACTGATATAGTGGTTTGTCTCGCGATGTAATAACTTCTGATATGGATCACATCTTTTCGGCTGCACACAGTCAGTCTTCTTCAGACAGTTCAGACAGGAAGATTGGAGACGAGTCGGGGAATGGTTTGCCGAGGGGGGGTGGGTCTAGCTCTAATAACAATTAGCTCCAGTGCTAGATCCCTTGCAGACCTCTGCCTAGGCCCCTGTTCGTGTTGCTCATGACATCATACTGCTTTCCCGTGGGCGAAGAAACGTTCGTCCCGAAGCGCTTATAATTAGGAATGAATAAAGGCTGATAGTTTCTAAAGAAACTGTTTGGGGCTGCGTCGGTGGGGGTAACGAAATAATTTGGATATGTCAACAAAGTTGAAATGATAAATTGGCCACCGTAACGATTACAAAAGCTGACGTTTCGAGCGTTAGTCCTTCGTCGGAGCGAATAGAGGAATTGTGGGTTGTGTGTGCTTTTAAAGACAGAAAATGGAGCTACGTTATTGGTGGGAACATGGCAACGAGAAAAACACGAATAAATTAGTGGAATGAAAGGCGTTCGTTGATCTCTGTGGGATTTAGACTGCCGGCTCATCTTTCAAACTGGCAGTCTAAATCCCACAGGGATCAACGAACGCTTTTCATTCCACGTGTTTTTCTCGTTGTCATGTTCCCACCAATAACGTAGCTCCACACAACCCACAATTCCTCTATTTGCTCCGACGAAGGGCTAACGCTCGAAACGTCAGCTTTTGTAATCGTTACGGTGGCCAATTTACCATTTCAACTTTGTTGATATATCCAGCTTATAATTAGGGCCTACCCGCAACTACCACACGAAGACCTGCAGGAGGAAGTTGAAACCATACAAAATTGTCTTACCGTGTTATCCCTTGAGAAAAGGTGCTTGTTAAACGTTATGGGCGCTTCCTTCACTGTAGTTGCTCCATCATCGTCTCCCATTAAAATGTCTCTAATGTAGTAAAAATCATACTGTCGAGATTTGTCTTGGTCAGCATATCGTCTGATGCTAAGACACAAGGTACTGAAAATACGAATCAGATATACAGCCCGACGAAACCTTGCGAGAGCCTGAAACGGGAAAAAAAGGTATAAAGAAAAAGGTTCGAAAATAAAGACGTACTTACCACTTTACCAAAATAATTCGGAATTACTTTGATTTCGCCTTCCCCTAGTTCTTTAATTGATCTAGGAACTCTTTTGTCACTTTTTCGGAAAATCAGATGCAAAACTAAAACCAATTCTCAACTCGATCTATCGTTTTTGCCTTTTCCGCGGAGGAAAGTACGATTTTTGCTTTGATTTCTGTGATTTCTCGTTGTGGTATTTGGTATGATTTGCAGTTATGATTACTTGAAGACAGTCAAACGAAATCCAATCGGCAATAGGTTGACTTTATATTGAATGCCGAAAGTATTCTGGAATTGCATTGGTTTTGCCATACTTTACCCGGCTATCGATAAAAGAAAAACTCGATCGCGTCCTTTCCGACGAAGGGCTAACGCTCGAAACGTCAGCTTTTGTAATCGTTACGGTGGCCAATTTACCATTTCAACTTTGTTGATATATCCAACTTATTTTGTCAACCAATCGATCTCGACTTGGTCATCGGTGGTTTCCCGCACTTTTGGCTGCTTGCTATCGCTTGTTTTTGCTTTCAGGTTGAACTGGCTTCTCTTGATATTTAACAATTACTCTTTAAAATCGAGGTGAATAGTGGCTAAATATTTCATACAGTAATCCTTGGTATTTGGACTAGCTGACTGATTAATCTGTTAATAACGTGCCAGGATTTTGTTGTCTAACTCGCACTGCATGACATTGTAATTCATATAATTAACAATTATTCTTTGAAATCGAGGTGAATGGTGGCTAAATATTTACCGAGCCACGAAGCGGCGAGGTAAATATTCCCGAAAGCCATTATTCACCGAGATTGAAAAGAATAATTGTTTTAGTATATACACACGAAGTGATCTCGACAAAATTAAAAGGAAGCCATTTAAAGGCAATTTCTGCTTCTGAAACTTTAGCGAAACTCGAGTTTACGCCCGCCATTTTGTTTTTCACATTATCCACTCGCTCGGAGTTGTACATTGTTGATTAGCCCGAGATAGCGAACCAATCAGATGCTTGAAACGCCAAGATCACTGAGTGTATATACTAATTTTTTTTGTTCTGATCGGCGATTGTGATTACTTCGTTTCGGTGGATGTGCCACACTCTCTCAATAATAGCAACGACTCGGCACCGTGATCCTGCTTCTAACCGAAGTAAAACATTGCATTTGCCCATTAGGGGCCTGATATACTATCCGAAAATTGAATACCTTCAGAAGAAGCAACACGCCAGTAATCAACAAAGCTCTGTCATTGGTTGTTATTTTGCACTGAAATACTAATTTTCAAAATAGCGACCGTTTTCACGGCCTTTTTGAAGATGAAACAAATGAAATGACAGAAAAATGAGTTTTTGTGATAATCACAAATGTACTAACTAAACCGAGCAGAGCGAACAAAGCATTTTCCGAGACAGTGGTTCTTTAATATCAAATCCCTCCAAATACAAATAGAATTACTAATGTGCGCTTTTTCAACATTTCTTATCGTATTGCATGTTTCTGTTTACCCACTATGCTTTGTCTTCTGTTTTATACACAAACTTCATGGCCAATTAAAAAGCAATTAACGGCCAATGTGGCCTATTAACCGGTACCTCCGTTTTTTTTAATAAAATGTCAATAAAAATTCGACAAAGATTTATTTGTCCTATCACAGATTGTCAATTAAGATGCTCTCTATTCATTAGAAAACTGTCTAAAGGTGATGGAAACACTTAGGGAATCAGTAGCAGTAAAAGACGTTGCTACCTGTAAGAAAACTTCTGAATGTAAAATATCTGAATAAACAGCATTAGTTTCTAAAGAAACTGTCATGCTGCATTGGCGGGGGGCACAAGATAATTTGGTCTTATCAACTGAGTTGATAACAGTAAATTGGCCACTTCGTCGCTATAACGAAGGTTTAACGCTCGTAACGTCAACTTTAGAAACACTTAATGAAAGTCAGTTTATATTATCAACTCATCTGATAAGACCAATTTATTCCAAATTTTTAAGTTTCTATTATTCTTCAATATTTAGTGTCCTGTAAATATGCTTTTTCAAAATGACCTTGAAAACAATTTTAGTGACACTTAGCTTTTTCTCATTTTCCCAAACCGAAAGAGGAAAGAGAAGGATTTATTTAGAAGGAGGTCATGCATTAAGTCTCTGTGGCGACGGATTATAAAGCTTGTAATCAAAAACAAGCCAACTAATCAACTGATTAAATTAAGAAGATGCTCAAACTGACCAGTTGTCGTTTCTCTTCCATCTCCTCCTCGTCTACTACTGTGACCATTCCCTTAAAAAACCTGCTGAAATCTTCCCGAGACCCTTTCTTTTTTAAATGTTTCGCTTCTCCATTCTCAGTTACGATTGTACGTCGAAGACTCTGTAAGCTAAAATAACTCGATCTCCTCAGAGACGGCACTGAAGCTTTTGACGACGAAGAGTTTGAACTTCTCCTTCTCGTTAATCGATCAGAGTCAGAGTCACTTGCTTTCCTGGTTTTTAAACTTCCTGAAGTCTCCATGAGGCTTGATTTGGGGCGAGGAAACAGCGCAGGTGCACCGTGGTTATTGGTAGAGCTAGAGACCGGCCTCGCGAACAACACAACGCTACTTCTGGACGAAATAAATGAGTCTCGTCTGTTTTGCCCCTCACCGCTATCCTTTTGATTTTCATTTAACAAAAGATTCTGTGATGTGCATCTTCTTAATAAACGCGCTCGGCCGTGCTTGGTCTTAGTAAAGACTTCCTCCGGCCCTTCATCGCTTTGATCATGTATCTTCTCCGCTTTTGTTGAAAAGTTTACCGTGTTGTCTTTGATACCACGCTCTTGCTGCATAACTTCACGATAGCACATTTAAATGCAGCCCACCATTTGACAATGCTTCATTTCTTTTTGACTGATGGCTGTAAAGTGTTCTTGTCAGTATATCGTGATATTTCCTTGTCAACAAACCTTAGCATAACATGGAACAAAACTTTCAATCCCAAGCGAAAATAAACAAAACCACGATACGCCGCCTTCCTTCTGAAAACAAATCGAGCTGCTACAATGGCAATTATTCATACCTGCACCCATGTTTGACGTGGTGTTATGCGCTCATCCAAGTGGAACAAACAAATAAAACAATACCTCGCCCTAATCAGTCCTAATACTTTCTTAATGAAACCCAAAACTCAATCAATTTAAGACTCAAGTTTTCTTTCTCTGTCTGGTAATTGACGGTCCAGTCATTCAAATAACGTTGGTATTACCCGAAGTATTGTTTTCTCTGTGAGTAGATTATGAGGCGTGCTAGAGCGTGATAGAGTTTAATGTATACGAACAATGACGAACAGGGCAGCTATTGAGAAAATTAGACCTGACATATGTAAATTATTAGTCTACAGATTGCGTAAATTTATTGATCTATTACAGGGTCATTCAATTTTAAAAACATCTTTGAGTAAGCTCTGTCATGGATTTAATTTAAGATCACTTAAGAACTGATTAAAACTCTCCAGATCTGGCTCTGAAGACTGATCACTACGTCTGCTCATTTTTGTTTGCTCCTTCAGCTCAAATATTTCATCTAACTATGCTTCGAGTAAGCATAACTCAAAGGCTCACGTATAACTCGTGCCAGGCCCTCGGTTGGTGAAAATGAGCGAAAGGGTGGGTTGCGTGAAAAATGGAGGTGGTCAGGCAATAAAAAATATGAAAAGGGGCGTAGCCGTTTCTCTGACAACCACAAGCGCCATTTTTCTTTCGTTGAGAGCCTGGAACAGGTTACAACATATTTAGTCCCTATTACAATTGTATTCTTGAGCTCAAAAGAATCAAGTTTTTTAGGGTGTTTTAACGTATATATGATTGATACCTTTATATTTCTTCTTCCATTGCCAAAAATCACTAGAAATCTCGTCGTCCTCGATCGGGAGGTACTCGTCAATTCGTTTAGCGTGACCAGCTTCGGAGTGGAATTGTGTGACTTCACGGAAGGTATGACGTATTGTTTCGTATTGCACTGCACCAGGCAGAAAGAAAGAAAGAAAGTCTCAAGCACTCTAAACAACAAACGTGTCTAGTTACACTGATAAGGTTGAGATCGGACGTCAGCATTATCAGGCGCCTCTGGCAGCCGCTTCAGTCCATGTAACGATCTCACCTTCCCTCCCATCCCACCCCAGGGGAGGACATCCACCACACAGTAATCTCGTGCGTGGGAAATTAACGTCTCCTACCCCTAACCCTGCAGGAGACGGGGCCTACGGTTTATTCGTCCTTATCCGAGAAGACTAGAATATCTATCCATTTCTTGATATTATAGAAAGGTAGCAAATTCTCCTCA